CCTGTACTTTGTTTGGCTGGAAACCACAGGTGTGGGTTCAATTCCAGACCTGAAGGGCAGCTAGGGGCCATGGTCTCAGTGGTTTCACCAGGCTCTATTGGACCAGCAAACCTGGTCCCAACCATGATAGTAGATAGTCTTTTGTGTCTTTGAGATTCATATTGTTGCATAATGTATATCCTGAGTGTATTCTTTTCCATTGAAGTGTTTGTTATGTGAATATACCATAGTTTGTTTACACATTGATGGATATTTGACTATTATAAATTGATGCACTTTTTGACTATTACAAATAAAGCTTTTGTGATGTTCTTGTACATGTTCCTCTGTTTCTTCTCTTTCTTGTAAAATAGATCTGGAGACTTTCTGTTCTCAAATTCTTGAAGTCAGGTAAATCATATGGTGTGGGATAAAAGTGTGAAATCTGACTCACGGTGTGCATCTTGCATCGTGTCCATCATTATTACAGGTCCCATTTATCTTGTTCTGGAACAATAGAATACTGTACAGCAATGAAATGGAACAAAAACTACATGCCACAATATGAATTAATTGCACCAACATAACATTAAGCAACACAATCACACACAAGAATATACAGTAGGTTCTCCCCTTGTCTATGGTTTTACTTTCCATGGTTTCAGTTACCCATGGTCAACCGTGATCCAGAAATTGTGCATCTTTATGAGTAGCATGATGAAATCTCACAGTGTTCCGCTCTGTCCCAGAGCCAACTTCCTCCTCCTGGTGGGTGCGAGCTTGCCAGCATACAACGGTTTAAGGCTCCCCACCCAGGACCCCCTGGGTACCTGTCATATATATGTATGTATAGGAAAAAAACATAGTCTGTATGTGTAAGGAGCTCTGGTGGCATTGTGCCTAAGGCTCTTGACTGCTAACCAGAAAGTCAGCAGTTCAAACCCACCTGCCGCTCCATGGAAGGAAGATGGGGCACTCTATTTCTGTAAAGATTTACTGCCTCAGAAACCCAGAGGGGGTCACTATGAGTCAGAATTGACTCGATGGCAGTGACACACACAAACACACGCATGCATACACACAGATCAGTACTATAAGTGGTTTTAGGTATCCACTGGGGGCCTTGGGACATGTTCCCAATGGATAAGAGGGCACTGTATACAGAGCAATGCTGTTTCTGGAAAAGTTAAAAACAGGCAAAATCAAACTATAATGCCAAGTGTTAGGATAGTGATTGGTCACCTTTGGGCAGGAGAGGGATAGTAATAATTGGTAGCAGGAGCAGAGGTATTGGCAGTGTTCTCTTTCTGGACTTGAGTGGTGGTTACATTGGTGTTTATGGTGTGATGATTCATTGAGCTCTGAGTTTATGTTTTGTGTTCTTCTCAGTATTTGTGTTATATTTCATAAGATCACTTTTTAAAGAGTGGGAAGTGAAGCAGTGGAGACAGCTAGCCAAGACAGTGCTTTTGAAGTGTGTTACTATAAAGGGAAGGAGACAAATGTGGGTTTTATCCATGGAGATCATGCAATCTGGGAGACATTTTTCTTTTTTAAGACAGTATATAGTACAGTATGTTTGCATGTGGATGGGAAAATTTAAGAGAGGAGTAGCATAGCAGGGGTGTTGTGCTGCCCCTGCTGGGTGGTGCAAACAGTTAATGCACTCAGGTACTAGTTGAAACGTTGCAGTTCCTAGTCTGTTCAGAAACACCTTGGGAGAAAGACCTGGTGACCTACTTCCTTAACATTCAGTCATTCCCTGTAGAAGACAATTCTATTCTTACACACCTGGGGTTGCCATGACTTAGAGATGACTCATGGCAACTGGTTAAAATCGACTCTGACAACAGATCTGTAGCATCATCTGTAAGGACTTCAGCAAATTCAGTGCCCCTTGTCCTTGTTTCTAGCTGTTTTTGTTAAGTTTCTCATTTCTTCAAAGTTGAAATTATTAATTTATCTCATTAGCATCCTAAAATATGTATGTAATGTCTTTGTTAGGTTCTATAAAATTCTATAAAATTCAGTTTACTGGAATTAATTTTATGGTGCAGTTGATTTTGTTGACTGTCATTTTTAGCATTTGAGATAGGATTTTGCAGGCTCTTTTAGAGAAGGCGATTTCCGTTGCTGCTGTTGTTTTTTCTATGTGTATTGATTTACACTCCTTTCCGATGCTTTTGGTGCATGCAAAATTTGAATGAATCTCAAAGACATTATGTTGAATGAAAGAA